CAGCATAGTAGCACCCCAAACCAAAATACCTAGATTCGTCATTATTGGTGTTGTAGTACATGGTTCACTCATACTAGACATCATTTTTCAAAACAAAATAAAATTAAGGGCTTAAACACTCCTTCTCTTTACAAAAATTACATAACTCTCTCAAATTTCAAGATTTGGATACAGCATACCTCCGTTGACCACCTTTCTTTTACGTGCTAGCATAAGTAATGGGAGTAATGCCTAAAATACCTTTATGAGTTTTCAACCATTTTGTGAACAATGTAATGGGATTGATCTCCTCGTCTCAGTGGGTAGGATAAAAATTTCTTACCGATGACGTTGCAAAAGAACCTTAAGTATTGTTCTCTGAAATCAAGATGATTTCAGAGAACAATACTTAAGGTTCTCTTACTACATAATTGGTGGAAAAATTTTTATCCTACTCGTTGGGAGAAGGAGATCAAGACTGAACAATGTAATACCAATATCTTTTAACAATTCTAACTAATGAAAAAGTATTATAAAAGGAGAGAAAAAGAGGAGAGAGAATATGAGTTAATAGATTTTTTTATTTTATTGAGAACCAAAGCTCCAAAGTCAAGAACAATAATTCAAGAATCAAAAGAGTCAATTTTCAATATTACAGATTGAAAAACCAAACATGAAGAGATTCCTGTTGATCTTCAAGATTTAAGATCCGGAATCAAGATCTTGTAATAAATAACAATTCCCAATGATTTAAAGGATGTTTTGCACTTTATAATTCCATTGGTGATTTAACAAGATGATCTTGGCAAGAAAGTATTTAGGTTTTCAAGTTCTTGAGAATTTAAAGTTTTATTAAAATTCTAACTTTGGCTTGTTCTGAGGTAAATAAAAAAAAAAGGAGAAACTAGAACTGAAAATGTAAAAGACAATCAATTTTAAATTTTGGTACTTCAAGTTTCTTTTAGATTACTATTTTTTTTAAATAGATTAATTGAAACAACATGTTACAAAAGGAATATTAGAACGGTTGTGTGCGTAATCCATGGGGGTATTGACCGGCGCAAAGGAAAGTTAATATTTGGCCTAATTATTTTCATACATGGTAATAAATATGTGACAATTATAAAGTTTTTTATGTGAACAATAAGTTGGTACAAAGATAGACTTAATATTTGTTTATTGCCAATACTTGATTACTACACCAAAAGTACCACTCACACGTTGATATTTATATCCAAAAACTAAATACCAATGTTATGTTTGGTCTTTGTAATGGGGCCCACCATTATTTGAAATTATTGATTGTCTAATACGGATTCTCATTTGAACATGATATTTTGGTTTAAATTCTACATTTAGTTATCTATCCATGTTTACAAGATCTGTTAATATCAATTCAGTTCCTATGATTGAACCAAATTTTAAGGACTAGAAAGAAAACGTTCATATCATTCTTGGCTGCATGGATCTAGATCTTGCTTTGGACCAAACACCCACTACACTTACAGATAAAAGTTCCATTGATAAAAAAAGGATTTTGAAAAGTGGAATCGTTCAAATTGTATGAGTCTTATGATCATAGAGCGTGAAATTCCAATAACATTTAGGGACGTTGTTGTGTCCAATAAGATAACTAGTATCAATGAATTTCTTAAAGAAATTGAAAAACGCTTTACAAAATGTGATAAGGTAAAAACTAGTACGTTTCTGGCGAACTCGATTTCTCTAAAGCTAAAGGAAACATACATGAGTGCATCATGGAAATATTTTATCTTGCTTCAAAACCAAAGGCATTAAAGTTTGAGCTGTCTGATAATTTGCTCGTGCATTTGCTTTTGATTCTATTCTTGCACAATTTAATCAATTTAAGGTCAGTTACAACTGTTAAAGGAGAATTAGATTCTTGATTAGCTCATTTCATACTGTGTGCAAGAAAAGAAAGTCTAAAGTAAGAGAGAACTAGAAGTGCTCACTAGACAAGTACCTATAAAAACAAGTTCAAGAAAAAAAAATAATAAGCTGCATCTGATTCAGCTCAAAAGAAACAATAAAAGTTTGAAAATGATAAATTATATGACTCATACTTTTGTGAAAATATGGACATATAAAGAGAGACTGTACTAAATACCATACTTGATGTGTAAAGAAAATTACATTTCTCACTTTGGTTTGTTTTGAGGTTAATTTAGTTTCAATACCTAGACACACTTGGTAGATATATTTCGATGTCACTATTCACGTGAGTATGTCTATATGGGGTTACGGTAATAGTCAAAAGGCAATTGATGCTGAAAGATTCATCTATGTGAGTAATGGAAAATCAGTTAAAGTTGAGGCTATGAGGACTTTTAGGTTATCATTAAAAAAATGGTTATTATTTGGATTTGAAAACGACATTTGTGGTATCATTTTTCAGACGAAATTTGGTTTCTCTTTTTACATTGGACAAATTTGGTTGCTCTTGTTCAATTAGAAATAGTCAGTTTAGTCTTTTTCTTAATTCAAATATTGTAGGTACTAGTTCTTTGTCTGGTTATGATAACCTATATTTACTTAATACGGTTGCCTTAACATTGCATGTGAATTCACGTAGTATTTAACGAAAATTAAACAATGAGAATTCCACTTTGTTATAGCATAAGCGATTTGGTTACATCTCTCAAAAGAGAATGGAAAAGCTTGTGTCATAATGAATTCTTGATCCCCTTAAATTTTCAAACTAAGTGTTTATGTTAATTACGTTAAGGGAAAACATACAAACATAGGGAGATTAGGCGCCAATACAACTTCGGACGTCTTAAAACTAATTCATACGGATATCTGTAGATCATATTCACTTTGGCTTTTTGGAATGATCAACACTAATTTACTATGTTTATAGACAAATTTTTTCTCGCTATAGCTACCGTATCTCATCCATGAGAAATCTCAATAACTAAACACATTTAAGGCTTACAAAGTTGAGGTTGAAAATTAACTCAGCAAAATAATAAAACACGTCACTAGACTGGTTACTCCACTTATAATTGGCAGATAGTCCAGGGCTTTTGCTAAATTCCTAGAGAAAAGTGAAATCGTCCCATAGTACACTATATCGGGTCTCCTAACACGAATGGTGTTACTAAGAGATGAAACAGAACACTTAAAGACATGATAAAGAATATAATTAGTCATTTCACCTTACCAAAATCTCTCTAAGAAGAATCACTAAAGACTACAACTTAAATTCTTAATAAAATTCCAAGTAAAGCAAATATTAAGAGGTTATAGATTTTTTAAAGAATCAACTACCGTCCGCATGTCGTAAGGGGGGGGGGGGGCGCAGTTGTTTCTAAAAAAAAGTTAAAAATTTTAAGAAAGTTAACATAAACAACACTTACAAATTATAAAACCGTATCGTTCAATTATTGATCTGTCAACTATATCAGTTATCATGGATCCGAAACTATACATCTTTTTTGGGCCTTTAAATAAATTGAACTTTCTATGCAAGATGAAATACGCGAAATGTATTTTAATAAAATTCTAAGAGTCACATAGATGGCATCTTTGAACCAATTATGCCTCTATATATGAATCCAGATCAGACTTTCTCGTCTGATTGTTGACTTAAACAAATTAAAAGAGATAATTCGAAAAAGTAAACTCTCAAAAGTGATAGAGAACTATTTCAAAAAAATTCAGGAAACCTTAAATGCACTCAATTTATTCAAGTCTATTATAAGTCCAAAATTTTATTTTTTGTAGAAGTCTGATCTTCATTGTCAAAGGAATTTAAAGAGAGTCGTGTTGTATTCATGTTAAATAAGTCGAAATCAGTTTAATGAGGCCATTGCTTAAATTTTCGTTACTTTTTTATTTAATTTTTAAATTCAAGAATATAGAGGATTAGTACAAAGCATTAAAGCAATTTTTTTATATATTCACCAACCTCATTCCCGACTCATAAGCGTTTTAAAATGATATTTAGCACAATCGATGCTTAGAACTAGTTCTACATTGTTCCACATATGAAAACACTCCAATTTTACTAGACAATTGCAGCATAAACTTTGCTAAACAACATTACTCAACAAGTTATCATAGTGACTTTTCTTGAAAAGGGTCATCTATTTGAAGCTGCATACACACACGAAAGACGCTCCTGATCATCAATAACATAAATTAATCATATAAAAATTTGCAATGTACCAAGATTCAAAGCTTTTGATGGCATGGGAAGATAAAAAAAAAAACACCATACTTCCTTTCTATATTAGTTTCGGTATTATTTTAGAACTAAAAAAAAATTGCTTTACAAAAATATTTTGCAAAATCTACCAAGAAAAATTACAGATTGAAATGCACTTTGATTCGCTAAACAATTAAAAATGGGCTCTACTACTATCTGAATTGTTGAAACATGAGGATGCTATGGCAATCTAGCATTCAAGAATATTCGAAGCAAGTACTTATTTATTTTTAAATGAAATGGTGAGCATGGATAGTTATTATCTTAGCAAGTATTATGAATATTTTCTTTGTTAGAGTTGAGCAACACTTGGTGATAACTTGGGGTATATTTGGATCAGATTATAATCTCTTTTAAAAAATTATCCACATGAACAATCACTTTCAACCAAACATATTACTTGATATTATTTCCAAATACACCCTCAATTTACAAGAATTTGATGATTTATGTTTTATTTATTTATATACTGACAATATTTAGCTTTTAAGTCGAAAATCACATATACTTTTGTAAAAAGAAAAAGTCTAAAGCACAACGATAATTCTCATAATATGTCAAAAATGGGAAAGAAATGAACTACGAATCAGAGCCCCCAGAATTAAGTCAATTTATGCATGTTTTGTAACATGTTCGCACTAGAAAGAATCAAACTGTAAAACCAAAGTGTTTTCTGCATGACAGAAGAATAAAAGTTTAGAGTAAAGTTATAAAGATATAAAGATAAATAATAGTTTAAATCAACACAAAATAATAGTATTACTTCAAAGTTATTAGATGCTCCTACTGTCTAAGAGCCACCTATCCCTTGAGTTTCCGTAAGGACTCCATCATTGATAAATTGACTTGGGTTCTCGACCGTTGCGTTTTCCTTGCGTTTCTGCAACGAAGTAACATTAATATAAAAATTTGAATCTTTTTTTCTTTTCATTTTTCTTTTTTTTTTTTGGAAAAATGTTTTTGCACAATTTGAACTTGAACTACTATCAGCTATAAATCGTAAAGTTCAAATTCCATCTAAGCAAACATGGGGTTGGAACTGTACCCGTAAATCATATAATAATTTCCTCAATTCTTCTGCTTCGCTCGTCATGACTTCAATATCAGCATTCACCTCTTCCAGCTCCAGATTTACCTTCTCCAGCTTCACCTTCTCCAGCTTCAAATTTACCTCTTTCCGCTCAAGATTTATCTCTTCCAGTTCCACATCTATTTCTTTTAATTCCTGTGAAAGACGAAACAACACACCAATTGCACCATGAGACAACCCTTAAAAAGATAGTATCACTGCAAACATCATACACGAACATAACTATAGATGTTGCAATCGAGTTTACATAACTCAAGCTATAGGGTCAAGATTGTAGATTTTGCATATTATGGAAGCATCACATGATCATGAGTTCATCGAAAATATATAGTATCTCACAGGCAATCGTCTCAAGACTGACAACGGGACTTAAGTAGAATGGGTTAAAGTAAATAAAAATCTAAACAAATCAAACCTTTTTCAGCAAAATATATTCCAGATCATCTTCTGGGTACTTATTTGTCCGTCTCCTACAACAAGTGAGGTCCAATTAAAATGCGAATGATTTTTTTTTTTTTTTCTTTTAAAGAAATAGATAAGGAAATAGCAATTAGAGAAATTGTTATCTCACTTGAGCTTGTAGAATACACCAAATTTTTTTGTTTTGATCCTCTTTAAATAAAACTCATCTGGGTTCCTCAATGCTGCCTTTCGCTTAAGTTTCTGCAGGGACATTGTGACTTACAACAAATAGAAACTAGAAAGAGGATTTGAAGCCCGAACTCAAATACAGAATTCAAAAAAATTTACCTGTAAAGCCTGCTTCTTTTGATTATAGGCTTGTGCGCGCTTGATATAATCCTTGTGAATATGTTTCCTTAGAGACGACATTGCCATAATCTGTAACAAAGTTTCACTTTAAAAATCAAACATAAAGAAAGGATCTTGTCAAGGAGTCATTGCAAAAAAAAAAAATTTACATGCTGAATAAAAATTAGATACTGATTGTTGTTTAGTCAGAACTAAAAAAGTTCGGTCCCAGGGCAGAAAGGAAGGAAAAAAATTACACAAAATTCAGAAGGATGTTAGGTTGGTTAAGAGCGTACCAAAGCAGTTACCAAATTCACCAATTTAGGGTTTCTGTATTATGATTCAAATATGTGAAACAGAAGGCTATTAATTAATCTATGAATTTTATGTTTTTCTCCAAAAGAAAATATTATTACCTTATTTCGGTTATGAGGAGCAATTTGACCGGCTGCTGCAATGGTGAGGAAAAGCTTCTTCAAAGTCTTATATAAGGTTGTCGGATGGTTGATTCCTGGTAGTGGTAGGGATGTAAATCGCGTATCTTGTCCAATGCGACTTCTATGTTAAAAGACTTATACTCTTATATATCGCGTATCTTGTCTAATCGCGTATTTTGTCCAATGTCAAGGATGCGGTTCATCCTCCTTATTATTATTATTATTATTACTACTACTCTTAAGGCTATTACCAAGGCTGATACCAAATTCACCAATATAGGGTTTTTGTATTATGATTCAAATATGTGAGACAGAATGCTATTTATTAATCTGTGAAATTTATTTATGTTTTAAATAGTTTTTTTTTTTTTTAAATTAAGAATGTGGAGTTCAAAAATAAAGAAAATTTTTGAATTAACGTGCAGAATATTTTATTGTGTATATATGTGATTAAAAATGAATATAAAAAGATGACTTCTAAATTTAAGAGAATCAAACAGTGGCTAAATAAATTACAATAAAACAAAATAAATAAAAATAGAATTTATTCATTACAAAATGGTTACCTATTGAAACTATACGAGAGCACAACTTGCTTGACCTAGATTACATACGTCATATCTTGTAATCTTAAGTCTGCTAATTGTCCCTTGAAAATAGTTAGAGATGGTTCCGAGACTTTTGATTTATATTGGGTTTTGGACTAACTAATTAGTGGGTAAAAACACAAAATCAAACGATGGGACTGGGCCGAATCTTGCTTTGACTAAGTGGATCCTTCAAGGCCCATTTATTCAGGAAGCATAAATTTTCAAGCAACTTACAAAAATATCTCTAAAATTATGGGCATTTAGGGATGTCAAAACTGGCGGACCGGCCCGGCCCACAGACTGAAAAGCCCTGGCACATCCCGCCTTTTAAAAAACCGGCCCATGAGGGCTTTCCGGGTCGGGATAAAAAAGTGTAACCCAGGCCCAGACCGTAAGCCCGCATGGGCCGGGTCATTGGTTCGGACGGTTCGGCCCGCTCGATTTTTTTTTTTTTTTTTGGTCATTTAAAAAATAAATTGTAAAAATTACATTTTATAATTAGAGTGAAAATCGATAAAAGTTACATAAAAATAAATTTTACATTGATTTATTTTTCGATAAATTTTACATCAATAACATAAAAACTTACAATTTTTCGAACAATACTTTGCCTAACTTGACAAATTAAACAGTTTTTAACTATTTATAAACTTATAGTTAAAGTACATCCCAACTAAGTTGGCACCTACTTAACTATAATATCGTCATTACAAATCAGATTTTATTCATCTATGGTAAGGTTTTTAAAGCCTTGAACAATATCGTCAACGACTCTATCTTGCATTCTTCTATCTAGAGGTGTCAAGATGGACGGGCCGGCCAGACCCGTGAAAATCGGCTCGGATTGACCCGGGACCGGAGTTCTACCCGAGCGGGCGGTTCACGGGTCAAGGAGGTGTGACCCGCGGGTTTCGCGAGTTGCACCTTTATGGGCCACGGTTAACCCGCTGGCCAGTGAAAAAAAAATTAATTTGAAATATATAATTTTTGAACGAATATATAGAAGTAAATAATTGAAATCTGGATATACAAATATTAAAATATATAATTTTTGAACAAGTAAATTGTAGTTAAGACTTGAGTAGGTGTCAGCGTAGTTGGGATGTACTTAAACTATAAATTATAATAAAACTATGTGTCACCTAGTTGGGATGTACTTATACTATAAATATTTGATAATAATAATTAGAAATGCATTTAATTGTTATTTGTTTAAATTAAATTTAACTTTGTAAAGTTATAAATAATTCATGTAACATTAAATTTGAATTCTATGTAAACATTTCTTTGTATAAATATGAATTTATCATTTTGTTCAATTCTTAGTTCACATTTAACAAAAAAAATATTTTTTGCTATAAATATGAAAAATTCTATATTTTTATAATTTTATTTATACAATAATACGGACCAAATCGAAACAAATCGCGACCCGTGACCCACATGGGCTCGACTCGGATGGGTCAGCGGGCGGGTCTGAGTTGTATTCCAAAATTTGTGGACCGACCCGGAACCCGCAGCGAGTGGGCTTTTTTCACGCAAGCCGTTACAGGGCTCATATGTTAGTGGGCCGACCCTGTCCGGACCACCCGAATTGACACCTCTACTTCTATCTGCAAATAACCAGTCTTTCAAGCAGATGAGAGCTTCTAAAATATTTTTTTAAAGCCTTGATCCTCTTTCATCTAGCACTATGTTACCTGCACTAAAAGCAGACTCCGATGCCACTGTTGAAACTGGAACTGTTAGTAAATCTCAGGCCATTTTTTAGGATATTGGATATAACCGTTCATTTACCTTCCACCATTATAAAATATCTAAGTGTCAATCTCGTCTTGTGGAATTAAACTGTAGTAATCAAATTGATAATATCTTTCTAATTAGCTGGTGTAACATTCTCATTTGAAAATGAACTAGTAGATGAAGTAAAAGACACATTACGTTTCTTGCCTGTAAAGAAAAGAAAGATTTTTTACCTTTAGAAGCTGTAACAGAACTCGTAGTAGAAGAAACATTTTCATTATTACCATATTTCATAACATAACTACTGTACATTTCATTAATAAAGCATTCTATTTCCCGATTTGTAATATTTATATTGAAAAATAAAGTTTCAGAAAGTTGGTCCATAGCACACTGAACTCCAAAAAATTTAATACGAGGATCCATTACAGCTGCAATTGGAAAAATCATTGGCATATTTTCGTAATATTTTTGAAACTTGCCCTCCGTTGTACAAAAAATATCATAGAAAAATGGATCGTCTTTATGACTTGAAAATTGATTATCAATTTCTACAAATTGTAAAAACACAAGATTGTTTGTTGGATAATAAACTTCGGAACTAGTTTTTATTGTCTTATAGAATGGTTTCAAATAATTCATGACTTTAAATGCAATGTTCCAATTAAAATCATCTATATGAAATTGATGTTGTTTTGAATTAACGAAAGCATTAATAGCATATGTATAACCAACACACGATTTTAACATAAGAAATGTTGAGAAGTTTGGTGGGTTATTTGCACTTTTTAAAAAGTCTGGGCCAATAGTTGCAATTTGTTCAATTTTTTTTTTTTTTTTTTTTCCAATTGAATGGAGGGTAAAATCATCAAAACATGGTGAAAAGAACCTTCGGCATAGGAAATGTTGAAGGTAAGGGCATAAATGAAAGTTAGTGATGATTTCCACAATACATATCAAATGTATGGAAGTTTTGTGCCTATTACCCTTTGATTTATATTGTGCTTTGGACTAACTAATTAGTGGGTAGAAAAGCAAAACCAAACGACGGGACTGGGCCGAATATTGCTTTAACTAATTGGATCCCTCAAGGCCCATTTATTCAGGAAGCATAAATTTTGGGAACAATACACAAAACCTACATTTAAGAATTACTTTTCAAAACTAACAAATTTGTCTAATTATTTCAAAAATCAGGTGATAAATAGATTAATTAAACCTTCCCTAACGCATCGGTGACTGCTCCGGCCACGCTCCGACGACTGCTCAGGCAACGCTCCGGCGGCGGTCCGGCAACACTCCGACGACCGTTCCGACGATTTCAAGATTTTCGAAAAATAAAAAAATTGGAAATCACACCTCCAACCCATGGATCCCACCTACCACCACCCCACCACTGCCTCCACCTCCTAAAAAAATTGCCCGAAAAATTTCAAGTCACTTTATATAATCAAGCCGCTAACATGTCTCATCTGTGACTAATTGTGATCGAATGTGACCAATTGTGACCAAATTTGTGTTCAATGTGACTGTCTGTGACCAATTTTGTGTTAATTGTGACCGAATGTGACTTGAATATGATCAAGTCACAATCGGTCACAATTAGCACAAAATTGGTCACAACGAGTCACAGAACACACATATTTGGTCACAAATGGTCACCACAAACAAATCCCCTTACACCACGAACAAGCACCACAATTCACCACCAGTCATTACCACCATCACCTCCAATACACCACCACTACCACCTTCAACACAAATTTACGACCAACACCATCAAGAAAATCAAAAAGACCAACATAAATTACAGGTGTTCGCTTAACAATGTTAGCAAGTTAATACCATCAGCAAACTTTATTAACTGTTTAACTGCATCAACAAAAATAATGCCAACGTGTTCATGTTAACAAACAAAAAAATAATCAAGCAAATTTTCTCATATGAGCAACAACCGTTTCGTGGGAGGCATTCCTCCCTCAATTTCTGGATGTGGAAACCTCGAGTTTCTTGATTTTCACTCAAATGCACTCACACGCACTGTGCCTGATACTCTGCCCAAAAGCCTACAATTAATGGATATTTCGGATAACAGGCTCACTGGTCAATTGTCACCGAGTATTGGTTCACTAACTGAATTAACCAAACTTAATCTTTGGAAGAATCAATTTTCGGGCAGAATTCCGGCAGAGATCCTATCCTGTAGTAAGCTAGAATTACTAGATCTCGGAGACAATGGTTTCTCAGGTGATATACATAAAGCATTTGGGCAACTTCCATCACTTGAAATTTAGAGAAAGTGGTTAACTGGCCGGATTTGGAGAAAACTGTAAATCTGAAATTTCAAATTTTTTTTTGCAGGTTGTCTCTAAATCAAGCGAGATTTTGGATGTAGAAATGGCACAAAAAAAAAAAGTAAACCTGAAATTTCAAATTTTTTGTTGAAGGTTGTCTCTAAATCAAGCGAGATTTTGGATGTAGAAATGGAACAAAAAAAAAAGAATAATAGTGAATTCCGTTCCCAGAGGAGGCCGGTGGCTGCTTAGTTGGAACGTGAAGAAGAAGAGTAGAAGGCTTCTAACAAAAAAATCAGAACGGCCACCTTCACCGCAACCACCATTTTCAGCCACCATCGGTCCATCATCGCCGCTCCGTTTACGACAGCCACCACCTTCCCCATCGTCTACCGCCACCATCACAGTCGCGACCTCCACTCACCACTCACCACCACCACAAATAACATCAACACCACACCACACCACACCACACAACACACCCGCCGCTTAGATCTTACTCTAGATAACGATGCCGTCGAAGCCGACGCCGACGTTGTTGACGCTGCAGAGAGCGGAGAGAGATGTAGAGAGAGGAGGGAGGGAGGAAAATAATTGGGTGTGAGGAATAGTGGGGGGTCTCGGAGGGAGGCGACAAAGAATAAAGAAGAGAGAGAGCGATGAGGTGAAGATGAGAGAGTGAGAGAGAGACGGTAGATGAAATTAGGATTTTAATATTATAGTATTAAAAAAAAAAAATTTAACACCTGATTTTTGTATAAAAAACTTTTCAACATGAATTTTTAAATGTATAGTTTATATGTAGGGATTGAGCTAAATTTCCCATAAATTTTCCAACAACATTTTCTTGTTTCAATTTTGATGAAAACCGTAAAACTTGTTTAATGCGACTTCTGATTTGAAGACTTTTAATTGATTAATGTCAATGAAGAAATAATATGCTAACAGTTCTCAAAAATTCAAAATAACCTAAGTTTCTAATTAAAAAAAAAATTAGTAAACCAGCACACATTATAATATTTGAATTACAACAATTAAAATATTTCAGTGACAATTTTAATACATTTATCTCAATATCTCTAACTTTTCATGAACTAAAAAAATCATAACTAATTGTATTTCAACAAAATAAGTTTTGTAATAGTGAATTTTTTAAGAATGTGTTGTTAAAAAGTAGAAAAACTTTAGATTTACGAGCAAAAGATTTTATTCTAAAAATATGTGATTGAAAATCAATTTGAGAAGAAAGTGAGTTTCGATATAACGTAAATCAAATCATGGCTCAGTGAAAATTTATATAATTAGTAAACAACTATACTTCTTTTTTTCATTTTTAGGTATTAAACAACTACATTTCAATTATAAGAGTGGACCAGTGTATTCCACATAGGCAAATCATTAAGCAACATGAGCCATGGAGTATGATGGCTAGGATCCATTTTTTAGTTAGATACATGTATTAATAGTCAATGTTGCCAAATAACGAAACATCAATGATTTAGAACAGTTCATTAGAAGTTTTTACGATGAAAAACAGTAAATCTAAAGCGAGTGCTTGTAGTATTAGGAATCATCCTCGCGCAGTAGTGCATCTTCCCCTGCTTCTATCAAGAAAAAGTTCAAATCAGTAAAATGTTACATTTCATAATCAAATAAAATGAATTAAGCTAAACATTACCAGCAGAAACTCTAGGGAAAGCCAAGCGTTGATATTCCAACTCTAATTCTTTCACTTTTCGCTCACTGCTCTTCAGATTTTTGATGGTTCTCTTTCTCTTCCTGAAAATGGTAAAACAATTGATGAACAAATAAGTTGCCAGCTATAATTTTGGGCTAAGGTTGATTATTTTGCATTAAATGTTGCAACAAATCTGTAAATGAGAATTGAGTAGGAAACAGGATAGTCCATTTTTTTTCCTTAATGCATTCCATCTTTTATGAGACACGAATTATGTTCAAACATGACAACATATACATAAGAATACTTTTGATTGAATAGATTCTCTTCAAAAATAAAGTTTTCTCGATTATTTCAGACATCGTCTTCACAATGTGCACCATAGAGAACAATAATTTACCAGTAATTAACAGGTAAACGGGAACGAAGATGCTTTGACACTTTTAGCTCTTCAACTTTCTGCATCACGGAATTGATTTGTAATGTAATGAAACTTAAAAAAAACGTTTAAGCTTCTAAAAACAGCAATACGTCAAACCTTCTTTTCATTTCGAAGATCATTCAAGACAAAGCCAACGTATGGATACTCCACCTTCCTTCAATTGTAAACAAAGAGTCGAATTATATGTCACATGCAAATGAAATATTAACAAATCATTTTATTTATGTAAATTTGTTATCTCACTTCCTTTTCCGAGCCATCGGGTCCCGTACCGCTTCCTTTCCCTTGAGTTTTTGTACGAACATAAAGATAATTAATATATTAACTTAAAAATAATGCATTAAAATAAAATTTGAAAGGTTATAATCAAATGTACCTTTGATTTCTTTAGCTCTGACTGTTTTCCTTTCTTAAATGCTTCGAGCTTGGCAATTAATTTTTCCTTCTTGGCAATTAGTTTCTCCTCCTTAGCACTTAGTTTCTCCTCCTCGGCACTTAATTTCTCCTCCTCAGCAATTACTTTCTCCTTCTCGGCAATTAGTTTCTCCTCCTCGGCAAATACTTTCTCCTTCTCTGCAATTACTTTCTCCTCTTCGGCAATTACTTTCTCCTTCTCGGCAATTACTTTCTCCTCCATGGAAATTACTTTCTCCTCCATGGAAATTACTTTCTCCCTCTCCGCAATTACTTTCTTCTTCTTGGCAAATGTGTTTTCAATTTTCTGCGCAAGACGAAATGATTTATAGTATAATGAATTCCAAACTAAAGATCATCTCATTTCATCTAATTCTCTATGAGTTCAAAAGGCATTAACATAAAATAATGTATATCAAGTTAACCATCTCTTGGACTAATGGTAATGAACTTTAGTAGAAGAAAACTTTATATGAAAATAATGAAAAGAGAATGCATAATTTCCCGTTTAATTGAACTAGAAGTTCAACTTTTTCTTTCCATGACTAACAAGTTAACTCATAAGAAATTAGAAAACTGAACAATAACATCACAGATTGTTTTGCTGATCCTTGGGTTTTCCAGTCCTAGAGTCAAATGGACCAACATCATCATCATCAACAATGTCATTGATGGAATTTATTTGGATAAATGAAAAACAGAAGCATAATCTGATAGAAACAAGAACTAATTGACATTTCATACATAAGATGTATATTATAGTATATACACAGAAGTTAAAATCATCAAACCTATCTCTATAACACAAGCCGTTGAAATAGCCTCTTTACTAGGATACCACCACTGCAGCCCTCAACAAAGTTCAAAAGCCATCTAAACCATATAGCCCCACCAACTGGAACCCTCAGTCACTTAAAAAACCAGACACTAGCCAAAAAACTACCTCCCAACCTGGCTCATCCTTTAAAAACCAAAAACACCCCATGAAATTTAAAGCCATTACCCCCACGGATTACCAAACCAAAAGGAGTTTGGGACTTTGCTACGAGTGTGATGGAAAATACACCCCTGGGCATATGTGCAAAAATAGGATGCTAAATTTCATATTAGTGGATGAGGAGGAAAGAAGATCATGTGCCTAAGGAAGTCATGATGACCCAGAAGAAATCATGGAGATTTCTGTTAATGCATTGGCTGGAAGTATTAGGCATAGGACAACATGAATTCCTGTCCTAATTAAGAAGGGAAATGTCTCTATACTCATTGATAGTGGAAGTACGCATAGCTTCATCGTTGAAAATTTAGTGCATGTACTTAAATACCCTACTGATGCTTCCAAGCCTCTAGTTGTTACTGTGGCAAATGGAGAAAAGTTGGAGAGCAAAACAGTAAGAAGGCCCTTGATCTGGAGTATCCAGGGGATGGAATTTCAATTTAAATTAAGAGCCCTTAAACTTGGGGGCAGTGATCTGGTGTTTGGGGTTGATTGGTTGAGTCAAATTGGTCCTATGATATGTAATTTCAAAAACAGGAACATTAAATTTCACCATGATGGGAAGAAGGTGGAATTAATGCGCGAGGATTGTCATCGAGAATTTGTCATGATAGACAGGAAAACACTTAAACAGTGGTGCAGTAAGCAATAGTATGGCTTCCTAGCTCAATTATAGGCCATGGAAGAAGAGGAGTTAGATCATACGCCAGTTGAGGTGCTATCACTGGTTGATGAATTTATGGATATATTTGCAAAACCTGATGGACTTCCTCCAAATATGTCTTATGATCATCACATCCCTCTTAAGGAGGGTGCACAACCTTCTAAAATTTGACCCTACAGGTTCCCATATGTACAGAAGACTAAGGTGGGGAAAATGGTAAAAGAGATGCTAGAAAGTGCGGTTATACAGCAGAGTTATAGTCCATTGGCCTCGCCGGTGTTACTAGTTAAGAAGGACGGTTCCTGGAGGTTTTGTTTGGTTTATAGACAATTGAATAATCTTACCATAAAGGACAAGTCCCGGTGCCCATATGTACAGAAGACTAAGGTGGAGAAAATGGTAAAAGAGATGCTAGAAATGTGTTAATTCCTAATGCCCAAATTGTATGCGGAATTAGAAATGGAGGTATATTTGCTGATGGTGAATCAGTCATCTCTGTCTGGAACCCTCTAATAACCAGTGGTTTCAGTTAAATGGAGATTTTCATATTTATCTAAGGCATCAAACACGAGTAAACTGAATTTTGGTGAAAATACTATTGTTTCGGGCTCAATCAACCTGGATAGTTCCTATTTATTCCAGAAATTACTCACTCGCCCTCACGTCTCTACTAAATTGAACGAAGACAAGTAATTAAAACTTTGATTTCTTCGATCCGTTCGAATGATTGATTTGAGGTATAATGAATAACGCAAACCTTATCCAGTTTCTGAAGTTTCTCCTCAAGCCTGCTTTCCTCGTCCATACC